CCATATCTGCTTGGGCAAAGGTTTCATGTCGAAACCGATCACAAACCCCTGGAGCGGATCCGGACCGCCAGAGATCCTCGCGGGAAGCTCGCACGCCGGGCATTCCGGTTGCAAGTGTACGACTTCACAATCCAGCACGTGCCGGGGAAGGAGAACAACTTGGCTGATTGGCTGTCAAGGCCAGAAGCTGAAGATGAGGTTTCCAAGATCATGATTGGAGCCAATGGCCTCGTCGTCGAACTGGATCCCGGAAAGTTGGTGCAACTCCAACGACAGGATCCGGTGTTACAGAAAGTTGCAGCCGCCTTGTTGGATGGAAGGAACATTGAGAACGGAGAGAGAGACAAGGAAGTAGAAGCGTTCCAGAGTCACTTTGATTGACTGAGGCAGAATGAAGCTGGCGGAATTTCCTGGAACGCCACTGATTCAGATGTTGTGCTGCCCGTGATACCTCGCGTCTTGAGACAGAATCTCATAGTTGAATGCCATGAGATGGCACATACAGGATGCACCAAGACATACGACCTACTTCGGCAGAGGGCCTACTGGCCCTGGATGAGAAGTGAGTTGATGGATTATGTGGTGTCCTGTAAGCGTTGTCAACTAATGAAAGTGGATACGACAGGGGCAACCCATCCCATGGAACCCATTCCTGTCTCAGAAATCGGCGAGTTGTGGTCAGTTGACGTCACCATGCGACACCAGCATCAAGAGGAATTGGGACGTGACAACGGTCAATATCGCCAACTTGACCGATCACAAGCCACTGTCGACGATCCTCCAAGGTATCAAATCTTGCGAGACTGCACTAATTACGGGGTGGCCAACTGTCGAAGTAACGGTTGCCAGTCGGAGTCTAATGGTATTATTGACTAAATCAGACGAATTGGTGTGGGAACTCGCAACAACCGGATTCCATCCTTCTGTACAACGCAATTCCCGATTATTTTATTTTGGTTTTGTGCCAGTACCACCTTCCGAGTTTTGGACCTAAACATAAGCCGTTCTTTGACATTATCACCGAGCGTCTTGTTTAAGTTAACACGTGGCTTCGTTGTCTTGGGAACACGTGACTTTATAGCACTTGTAAACTGCTCTTTTTCATGCTCAGTATCACCTTCTTTTTCGCCATCATTATCAGTCACATCGCTGTACAAAAGTTTGTTTTACTGAAGTACAATCACAACCATCCGCTTCATAGGTCCAACGTGACTTTGTGACTTTTGCTGAGTGACTATTGTTGTGACTGCCAGTTGGATATAATTGACTGCCACCAAATCTAAACGTGAACAAAAAGTGTTTAGCTACAAACACTGGACTCATCTATTGACACCTGTGGATTAATACCACGATCACCGGAGATTTAAAAATGGTTCAACGGTATACGGAACTACGGAGTCTCCTATTTTGAACTGTGAGTCAAGATTTACTTGGATTTTTCTCCTTGTGACTTTGTATCTGGCTCACATCAGTAATTTGTTCAGTTCACTAGAGACTCCATAGGACCGTCAACCACTACAGCCCCGTTGTCTTGGGAACACGTGGCTCTGAATCGGTGTGAACTTTGTGATCCGTTAGGAATTAGCAGTTCCTTAACCAGTGTGTAAGGGCCAGTTTAATCCCACGTTTGAGGTTAGTAGAGTTTTATTGGTTTATTATCGTATGTACAGTACCGCATTCGTAGATAAGCCTCCATTTGAATGGTTTGGCTTTCGTGGCTTTGTGCGTAATTCAACGTGGTCCAATAGATCGCTGGAAACAATCTCTACAGGCTGAAGTAAAAAGTACGACGTCTTGAGAGCAGAAGTTGAAGCAGTATGTGGCGAAACCCGGGCCCAACAAGTTTGTAGTGGTTTCGCTACCAAAAATGCTACTTTACCAGAATAGTGTGGCAAAGAAATAAAAATAATAAAGCTAGGTTGGGTATACAATAATAAAGACGTCAGATGCAACAGAATCACTAAGAATTGTTTTCTTTTAAGTAGTTCGTCGTTGGTCCAGGTAAGGGAATAAATAATAACCCAATTATGGTTGTCCGGGAGTCTTTTTCTGAGCACTTCTCACATGTACTAAATTCTGAAGATAATTTGAAATGTTTTGATCATCATCATCATCATCAACGACAGCATGACATCAGTGCTCAACACCAATGCTTCACTGCCGTACAGCCATGACTTATTTGAAAGCCTTATTGTAAAGAAAAGAATAAAGGTGGACGGGGAAGGGACTTAGTACTAGCTTAACACAATCATTCCGAGGTGCCTACACCTCCAGACATTCATTCAGGCAATCTGGACAGAAACTGACAACAAGAACGCCACTGACATCGGTTGGTAGCCATATCTTGTAGTGTCTCCAACCAGGCACGGTGAGGATCACGCGGTCCCCATCCTGGAAGGCGAGTAGCACCGACAGCACCCAAGCGTTTCGTGATCTCCTTCATATTCCTCTGCCAGGTCATGGGTTGGCCACCTCTCTGTTTACGCCACTCCGAATTGGGCGTGGAAAACAGTACTCTCTTCGGCCAACGATGGTTCGGCATGCGTAAAACATGTCCCAACCAGAGTTAGCGCATGAAACTGACGAATGACCACTGTAAGCGCGAGAGAAATCAGAAGAGAAAGGCGAAGCACGTGACCGCGTTTGTGTTCCGTGTAAATTGTACAAAAGTGCGTATATGTAGATTTTCGTATTCAGACAAAAATGATAATGCAATTGACGGAATACGTATTGTCATAATTTAAGCAAAGGAAAGGTACAACTCACTAAACTAGTGAATAGGAGTATGAATGAGTCCGAGATGATCATGCAGGGGTCGCTTTGCAGAACAAGTGCTCTAAGAAAGCTGAAAAAACTAATTGTTAGTTGCGTTCCCACAAAATAAGCTAATCGATTTACTGAGATCAGCAGCGCAACAAAAGTAAGCAAATTTTCGGCCTTTTGGTTGCACTGTAGTTGTTAATGGCCTTATGACGACTCTAGTGAAAAGACCAGATTACTAATGTAAGTCATATCATGTCACAAGGAGGAAAATTCAAGTTAATCTTGACTCACAGCTACAATTTAAAGTTCCGTAGTCCCGTATTCCGTTTAATCACCACAGAGAGAGTTCTACCCTTCTGGTATTTTAAATCTCCGGTGATCGTGGTATTAATCCACAGGTGTGAATAGATGAGTCCAGTGTTTGTAGCTAAACACTTTTTGTTCACGTTTAGATTTGGTGGCAGTCAATTATATCCAACTGGCAGTCACAACAATAGTCACTCAGCAAAAGTCGCAAAGTCACGTTGGACCTATGAAGCGGATGGTTGTGATTGTACTTCAGTAAAACTTTTGTACAGTACTGATATTGATAGGGAGAATGAAGATGATACTGAGCATGAAAAACAGCAGTTTAAAAGTGCTACAACACATTTCTTATGGACTGATATACAGAGGATACTGGAGAGGGCTTTCAGTATTTAAAAAGCCCTCTCGAAGATCGCTCGCATGTCTAACGATCGCTGTCTCACGCTGGAAATCTGAGTCAGTTTCTACAGAGTGAGAGTTAACCATGCTTTTGTTTGGTAGAACATCAGCCGATCTCAAAACTTATGACGAACCTAATTGTAGTTGTGCAACCTTATGGTCTGAAATTCACGCTGAATCAATAGACCACGACTCCGAAATGCAGCCTCCGTTCAACTGTGGCAAACCTTGACCATCAAAGATGGCAATACTGGGGGTGAGGCAAACCTCCAGTCAGAGAACATTCAACATATGTGAAATTACCGTCGCCCATTTCTTTAGCGGATGGTAAAGGAGCAGCGGTGAACCCCATACCCAAGTTACAGAAGCTGGGCTTGATAAGATCAGCTGTGCGAAAACGAGGTCCATCGACCGATCGGTCACCAGTGCTGACTTCAAAGTCCTGGAACTCGGTGGAGCACAACATCCACTGCCAGTCAACCAGAATAAACTCTTTGTTGACATTTTTATCTCATATGGCAGCCGTAGTAACGATAATCGCAGGAGTCTCTTCTTGGAATGCGAAACCACCACCCTCCAGCATCATCCCGTCAGAAGCGGTCAGTTCGACTGTGGCATTCATGACGCGGAAGGCGAAATCCACAAACCCAACTATACTGTACTATTAAATCCTACGTACGCTTATAGCGGGCTACATTTGAGACCGCACAAAAAACAAGAGGAAATCAATTGCAGTAGGATAATCTACCTAGGCCTTGCGCACTCGATGAGCTGCTTGCTGAATTCAGGGTAAATTCCTCAGAGAAAATATCCTTTCCGAAGTGCTACAAAAAACTACTCCACATTTAACGCGCAAGCTACCCCACACTGCACGAGCTAGAATCAGCAGCCGTCATAATTTTCAAACATGAGGAGAAAAACCACGTCCTCAGTAAACGAGAGGTTTGTGCAAACTGAAATCCGCAACGCAATAGTCCACATGCAAAGGAAAAGTAAATATTGAAAGCACCAAGTGTGGAAGCAAACGAATAAGCCACAGGGCCCCTTAAGAAGCGATGAGTCTCGCAAGGCTAGAACAATTAAATGTGACAACTTCTGTAACACAATTACGGTCTGTTCCCACCTTTGGACACAGCAGAAACAGTGGTGAAGTGCTTGTTCACAAACTGCCTCAGTCTCTTTACCAAACTCCTCGATGATCAACAGTCGGTCTACCTTTAACAACAGCCTATTACTACACTCACAGAAGCACTGAACACGTCAGACATGAATCGCGATGGGCGGTTACTCTATTTTTGATGGTACTCGAAAGACGAGAGGAATAAGGATTACTCTCCACTTAAATGCCGCCTTACTTACAACGGTTATCGTCTTTGACACCACTCTTGCACATCTGTGTAATGCAATGTTGGTTCGAATCCCACTAAGTGGGACCGATTTCCTTCTTCTCAGTATCTTCTACCATTGCCCCTTAACCACACTTTGAGCTTACCGATGGCTATCAAGCAAAAGGTGCAAATAATCTAACTGCTAAGCTCGGTGGACAGATCAACAGCCTTCTGAGCAAGCGCCAGTAAATTCTCCTGTAGTAATAGTATTTCGACACATTGACTGACGGCACCTATAATCCACCATCCTTACCATTAATCCTTTTCCGTCCGATTTATTACTCACGTTTGTACAACTGCAAGCCATAGGCACGTCTGTTAGTCATACAAAAACTTCACCAACAGCACGCCGTTGCTTAGCTTTGTCGCACACTGTACTCCTTCGAACACCATATTACATTCGTTGCAACCTTTATACGGAAAGCTCTTAACCGAATGTCGAAACATTCCAAATAATCCTCCACGTTTCGCGCAGTTGAATTAACATCTAATGGTCCCATTTCGGCAGGCATGATGAATTGTTCCAATCGCGACGCTAAGATGTGGGAATTAAGTTCCGGACGTATATCAGTATAACCAGACGAATTAGAAATCCAGAATTCAGCGTAGCGTAACAAGTAGCACGTATGTATTCGCATTGGCGTAGATGTACACCATATTGAATAGTAAAACAAGAGAATGATGATTAAAGCAATGAATAGAGTGTCAATCATGTTCATCACACCGAATAAACCGGCAAGCTGGTTCCGCGTGTTTTCCTAATGCTTCATATACTTCTGCTGCATTTTCGAAACCCAAATAAAGGATGGAAGTACACAACGTAGGGTTATGAAAAAATCCTTCTCTAGACACAGTTCAGAGGATATTGCAGGTGACGAAGTAAAGTACCGTTTTTGACGACATCACTGTCAGTTCGCAAACGGGGAGAT